GAGGAATGAAAAACGGTGCGGTAGGTGTGTGGAGTGTAACAATAGGTCGCCATCCTTCAAAAAGAAAGTATAGGTCGCCATCCAAACCAATATATATAGTCGCCATCTTGACTCTCGAGAGATTAGGACTACAGCCATTTACATGATGGTTAGGTGATGGTTGCGTGGATGCTTATCTAGAAAGAATTGAGAATTCCATACATGACATTTCTTCCCTCAACGCTCGACTCCCATTGCTATGTGATTATGAGAGCAAGCTCGAATCAAGAAGGCTCTCGGCAAGATAGGATTTGCGGTCAGAAGATATTGGAGACCATGATCACAGAGAAACCAAACAAGTTCATATCTAGTACCTGCATACCACCATCCTAATCCTATATGGAAAAACGCTTGTGCACTAGCATATCATATCGTTACCTCTGTGTGCCCCTCGGCGTCGGCCACCGTGAGGCGCCACTCCCCGTCGCCGGAACCGAACGCCTCGCCGCAGCCGGCCCACTGCTCCCACGCCACCACCTCCTCCTCTGCGACGCCGACGTAGTCCATGCTGGTCACGCGGTGGCCGAGCCTGACGCAGTCGAGCACGCCGAAGCGGCGCGCGTAGGCGTGGAGGTAGTCGGCGACCTGCCGCTGGTTGGGGAACATCTCCGTCACCGAGTCCGGCCAGGGGAAGTCGGAGTACCGGTACATGTGCCGCGGCGCCTGGAGCCTGGTCCCCTCCATGGCGTTCGGCCACACGCCGCCGACGGCGTCGCCCGCCTCGAAGACTACCGGCCGGCAGCCGCGCTCCAGCAGGTGCTTGCACGCCGCCAGCCCACTCACGCCGGCGCCAACTATGGCCACGCTCTTCTTATCCAGGCCCATCGGTCGATCTGTGTGTGTGTGTGTGTGTGCGCCGTCGACGACGGGCGGTGTGAAAGGTAGTGCTACGCTACGGGACTCTCTGAACTCTGACCACTAAGCGGGGTGGACCGTGTTTATAACTTTGTAGTGGGGAGCGAGAAGCCACTGTTCCATAAAGAAACTCTACTGGATATCTCACAGCTAGCAGCACCGAATAATGAAGAGAAGTGGTTAGCAATCCGACAATTCCGTCAACTGGTCCATGTCCAATCCTTATCTTTACAGATCCTAGCGTGCCAGAAAAAAATTACGAGAAGGCCTTAGATCTATTGGTCAACCAGTATTACACACTACAAAATAAAGAAAATACGCTGAGGTCCATCGTGGGCATTCGTCTTCTTCCTCACGAACAGGCTGATGAGACGCCATCACAAGTTTCTTTCCAGTTTCCATCGTCGGAGCGAGCATTGTTGACCGTGGACGGGAACTCATAAGTTGAAAGTGATGTATGATTACCACAGCCAGCGTGGTTAGCAATCTGACAGCTCTTTCAACAAAAATACATTTGTTTTTGTTTGCCACTGTCCATCCTTCGG